AGCAACTAAGGGAACAACTTAGTGTGAAAGAAGAGAAAACAACAGGATAGGCAAGTCTTCACAAGTCTGGGCTGTACTCCTGGTTTGAAAGGAATTTCTCTTATTAACCCCACAATAAACTGAATTAAAACAAAGGTATACTTTTTTGAATGTTATTTCTTTCTCTAGAACAAAACAAAGGCCAGCTCTGTCATGAAGCGTTTCTTTATGCTCTGCTATAATCAGGCGAGTCCCTGAACATTCTTCTTTTCCCCAAAGTCCCGGAGCACACAGGGGCCCTTTCCACACCCCTCCACACCCCTCCACACCCCTTGGTGGCGCTCTGTGGTTGCAGTGTGCTCCTGCATTTGCCTTGCTGGGGCAGGATAAAGGATCCCAGGGAAGGTCGTGTATTCTGTACAATTCCATCATCCTGCCTGACCAAGGCTGGTCACTGGAAGGGCAATTACATGTCTGTCTGAAGGAACACACACTTGTAATCTACAGCCTGGTACGAACTGGTATTGCCCCTGAAAGTGGTAGTAGGCAGGTCTCTGGGGATGCCTAAATCCATCAGGAAGTACCTACTAAGCAGCATTAATTTGCAATAACCATGTAAAATCATTTAGATCATGGTAAACAAATTTAGATTTTAAGCCAAGGGCCTGAAAAGAGAAATGTCACAGTATCTAAACCATTCAGCTGAGCAGAAGAATTCAAATTTACCAAAATGTGCAGTCATCCTAATAGTGTTTCTGCAGACTACAATGTGAGGGTTAAGAACTCCACTGGCGCCCTGGCTGGTTTGGCTCAGTGGTTAGAGCGTCGGCCTGCGGACCAGAGAGTCCTGAGTTCGGTTCCTAAGGGCACGTACCTTGGTCACAGTTTGTCCCCAGCCCCAGTTGGAGTCATGTGGGTGGCAGCCACTCCATGTGTCTCTCTCACATCGATGTTCCTCTCTCCCTTTTCCTCCCTCTCTCCCTCCCACTCTATCTGAAGATAAATGCAAACAAAAAATGTCCTTGGGTGAGGATTAAAAAAAAAAACAACTTCACTGCCTGGGCTGAATCCCACCTCTGCCCCTTTCTAGCTGCAACCTTGATGAATTGTTGAAGTTCTCTGTGACGATTTTCTCATCTGTAAAATGGGGGTAAGCCTCACAAAACTGTGCTGAGGAGTAAATAAAGTTGGAAATGAAGTGATTAAGACAGAGCCTGAAAGTTGGTAAGCATATAAATGTGAGCTGCTATCATTGGTGTTATAATTATTATCAGAAATAGTTGTCCCCACTCTCTCATCTTATTTGAGTAGTTAAAACACACACACACACACACACACACACACACACACACCCAAAAAGCAAAGATTCTTTGGATTTGCTTTGTTATAATCCCTCATAATCTGGTTTCATATAAATTTCCAGGTCTTGACAAATGGAAATGTTCTATTGGGCTTAATTACAATTCTTTCTCATACTCACTTTACAGCTTCAAGAAAATGGCTATTTGAACTTCAGCTCTGGTTTTCTACTTAGTTCTCTGAAAGGATTTATTGAAAGCCCCAGGTCGGCTGGGACATTCCTGCTGCTTACCTTTCAGTACAGTAACTGTGTATGAGCACAGAGGATGTCCATTTGGTTTCGGTTTTCTCATACACAAACACGTCATTGTACAGTAAATGGCAACATGCTCTCAATGATCTAAAGGCACATTGTGTTTGCTCCTTGATTTCTGCTCTACTTGTAACTCTGTGGTGATTAAGTTTCCTGTCCCCTACAACAAACACCTCTCAATTCGTTGTGAGCATCCAAACAAGTTAGTTGCTGTTAACTTTTTAAAAATGTAATACAGCATAATCAAGTCAGTCTTTCAATGCAAACCCATAAAGCTTCTGGTTACATCAATGTTGCTGTTGTTTTTTTTTTTCATTTATATATGGCATCCACCAGGTAAACTATAATTTACTTTTTAACTCAGATTGAAAACTCTGAATGTATAACTTAGTTATCAAACATATTTATACAAGTCAATAAAAGTTTAATAAACTTCCCCTTCTCTTCATGAGAATAAACAGACCTATTTTTCTCTCTTTACAGCAGTGATTTTCATCCTTTTTCACCTCATAGCACAAACTAATTACTAAAATTCTGCAGCACACCAAAAAATATATATATATTTTTTGCCAATCTGACAAAAAAAAAAAATTAGGTATAATTTTGATTCATTCACACCAGACAGCTATTGTAGACAGCTATTGTCGGGTGGGCTGTTGTCATTCTTTTATTTGACAATCTAAGAGAAAAGAGGTCAGTGCCCCTGACTAAACAGTCAGGTATTTCACGTTTTAAAAATTCTTGCAGCACACCTGTTGAAAATGGCATGTCATTATGCAGTATACAGTAAAGGGACTTAAATGATTTACCTGCTCTGGCTGGTTTGGCTCAGAGTTAAGAGAGTTTGCCCGCGGACCAAAGAGACCCAGGTTCAGTTCCCGCTAAGGGCACGTACCTCGGTTGCAGTTTGTCCCCGGCCCCAGATGGGGTCGTGTGGGTGGCAACCAGTCAATGTCTCTCTCATATTGATGTTTCTCTCTGTCTCTTCCTCCCTCACTCCCTCCCACTCTATCTGAAGATAAATACAAAAATGTCCTCGGATGAGGATAAAAAAAAAATGATTCATCCTTTGGTAAGACCAATCACCTACATAAAAGAACCCCATCTTTTAAAATATAGGGGAAGGCAAAGGTAGGTTAATAATATAATAAATAATAAAATAATTAATAAATAAAATCAACTGTTTTGTGTACTCACAACTGTGAGCCTACTTTTGCCCACCCCTGTACATCCTAGGTGTTGACCTCACTTGTTTTTTTTGTTTTGTTTTTTTATCCTCACCCGAGGATATTTTTCCATTTTTTGTACAGATAGAATGGGAGAGAGAGAGAGAGAAACATCGACGTGAAGGGACACATCGAGTGGCTACCACCCGCACGACCAACCAGGGCCGGGGACAAACTGCAACCGAGGTACGTGCCCTTAGCGGGAACCGAACCCAGGGCTCTCCGGACCGCAGGCCGACGCTCTAACCGCCGAGCCAAACTGGCCAGGGCGACCTCACTTGTTTTTTAATTGAATGTATTGGGGTAATATTGGTTCATAAAAACATACAGGTTTCAAGTGTACAAATCAATAAAACATCACCTGCACACTGCGTCATGTGCCCATCGCCCCACCCAAAGTCTCTTGCTGCCCCAATTTTACCCCCTCCCTTGCCCACCTAGTCCCCACCCCCTTTCCCTCTGGCTATCACCACACTGTGTCTGTGTCTATGTGTTATGTGTATATGTTTTCTGAGCTAACCCCTTCACTTTAGTTGCATTTCTTAAAAATATGCGCACTTCAGGTTTTCTGGGACTTGAGCATCGTGGGGCCCAACAGTAGCCACTACTGGGAAAATTAGGTGAGCTCCAAGTTGCCCCTAGGAAGAGGACTAGAAAAGTTGACAGGGACCTCCATTCTCAAACCTCACACTTCATAGAGGCAAAGGCTGAAGGCCAAGGAGGGCAATGGACCTGCCCAGGCGGCTCCTTGGTGCAGAGTGACACTGGCACACAGGCTCCTAACTACAGGCCCGGCTGTCAGCGGCCGTGGCTCTCGGGGCCACCAGGCCGCAGGCACTCCTAACATCCAAGCAGGAAGGGAGCTTCCGTCCTCCAGTAAACACCAGGAGCCTCATCCGGCAGCTACAGTAGGAAAAACCAAGGCTTTGATCTCACCTAGGCTTCAGCTCCCCAGCTGGCACTACCCAAACAAGGACCAGCGCTGCTCCGAAGGTCTGCCGCTTCCCTGCAAAGGAAGAGCCATCTTTCCTCCTCTGCACACCGCCTCCTGGCCTGTGGTCAGAACCTCTGGACCCTGATGCCAGGCTGGCCTCTAAATCAGCCCCCTTAGAACCCTCCTGCGCACTCCAGGCTTCTCCCCCCGGACGCTTCACAGTAGGTCTGGAGATAAAGCCTGCGAACTCCGAGCTGTGGAGACATGCGGAGATGCTCTGGGGTTGCTGGTTAGTTTCTGAAAACTGTTCTCATGTGTGTGGACACACAATGCTAGAGGCACTTTTTTTTTTTAAGACCATTCAATAGTAGTCACTATTTTTATAAGGGAATTTACTTCTACATCTTTCTGACATGCCTTTAATTTGCGCAAGGTTCTACCTGTTACAGTAAGGGGCGTTCCCCGCAGGGCATTCCCAGTGGCTTTCTGTCTCAGTCCCTGTGAAATAGGCCGACTTTCCATTTCCTGTTCTGATCTGTGACGGAGAAATCTGTGCACCTGCCAAGTCAGTGAGACACTCAGCTACTCAACCCCTCTCGACACTCAAATGTCATAAACCGAACACGACCTTGAAACAACTACTTCTCAAATACAAACCAACATAAATAAAAGTTCCTATTAGCAAAGTTTAACTTTTTAATCATTCTTATGTCCCTGAAAATTTCTTTTTTTTAGTATGTGCCCCTAGCAGGAACCAAACCCCGGACTCTCTGGTCCACAGGCCGACACTCCAACCGCTGAGCCAAACAGGCCAGGGCACATCCCTGAATATTTCTAATACATCTTTCAGAATTTAAAAAAAAAACACACACTAATCTCTTCACATATGGGGAGGACACATTATAAGTTTAGCAAATACCACTGAAGTGTTATTAAGCACTTAACAATTTTTTTTATTTTTAATGAAATAATTCATATATAACAGGTATATGCATGCTTCTGAATGGTTTATAAGTGAGTTTATGCACATGCACCGCCCCCGGTGAGCCTTCACAAAGAAAGGGCTGGGTCTTTGACTCTTTCTACCTTCCCTGGGTAAGATGTTAGTCCACAAAAAGTAAGTACTTTAGTGAGAGGATGCATTAGTTCTGAAACCAAAACCTGACTTTCTGCTTTCTGACACACCTCATTTTACATCAGAATAATCCATAAACGGCTATAAGGCCCAGCTGAGTGATTTCGTGCTCACCAGAGCTGGACACGCGCTTGATCCGCTGGAAGGACAAGGTGCGATCGGAGCCGAGCGCCCTGCCGCTGCCGCACCGCGGGCAGGAAGCTTTCGGACCAGGTGTTACCTGCAAACCCGCAGAGTCGGGCTTGGGTGCATGTCTACCTTGGGGGGGTGCCGTTTTTGAAGCAGAACCCTGTGAAGAAAATAGTTAAAATGTTAGTTCAGATCACACCTTCCCCCTATTTTTCCCTTGTGGTGTTAGCTGCATGAAAGAAACAATGTGTTTCTACATTGCAGTCTTTTTAAAGCTTTATTGAATTTACTGCGATGACACTGGTTAATAAAATTGAGTTTCTAGCCTGAAGATTTCAGATTCAAGACTACAATGTCAACTCTTCCCTGAATTTCCACCCTCCCAACCTTCTCTACAAGTTTCAGACTTGTCAGCCCCCTCAATCACGTGGCATAAGCCAGTCCCTTAAAATCAATCTCTATTACCTATCTTTCTATTCATACACACACGTATCTATCCCTATATATATGGATACACACACGTATACACACGTCTATCTATACACGCGCACATATTGCTATACACTGAATGTTTGTGCACCCCCCCCAAAAAAAAAATTTCATAAATTGAAAATCCAATCCCCAGTGTGATAGTCTTTGGAGGTGGTGCCTTTGAAAGCTGATTAAGTCTTGAGGGTGGAACTGAACCCTCATGAATGGGATTAGTACCCTCATAAAAGAGACCCCAACCTGCTCTCTTGCCACCTCCCACTATGTGAAGTTACAGGGAAGAGACAGGTATCTCTGAGGAAGCGGGCTCTCTCACCAGACACCAGATCTGCGGGGGCCTTGACCTAGGACATCTTAGCCTTCAGAATTATGAGAAAAAAATGTTTATTAAAAACAAAACAAACAAACACACCATTTGTTTAAGCAGAGATGCCAGATGAATATTTAATTTTCATTTTTATTTGAATTATGAAGAAATTCAAACTCTTCACAGTTTACTCTTAAAATCATCATTATCTGCCTTCTGTCCCCACCAGTGAGACTGTTCTCAAGATGACCAGTGCCACACCCCTACAGGCCTTCTCTGTGGCATCCGATGATGATGAGTGCATCTTTCTGTGTTTCACCAACACAGCTCTTCCTGGCTTTCTTTCTGTCTGTCTGGTATTCCTTTTCTGCATCCTGTTCTTTACCTTTCAGTGCTAACCAACATGAGAGTCCTAAACACAGCCCTGCTCTCCTTCTTACTATACCCTCTGCCTGGGTGATCGTGTCTGCTGTTTCAACCACCACCCATACACTGTCATGTCCAAAGTCTGCATGTCCAAGCCAGACTGTGGACATGACTCTCTCTCTCTCCGGAGCTTCCCGCAGATCTAGCTTCTATCTGCATCTGCCCACCTGACATCCTGCGGGCACCCCTACCTAACCATGTTGACAGTAATCCTACTGTGGTTTACCGATCAACGTACAGCCCTCACAAGATTAAAAATACCATTTTAAGTTCAAAATGCATGCATCCAATCCTCATAACCCTACAAGGCTGATACTTTCATCATATCCCATTTTACAAAAGAACAACGTGAAGCAGTTTCTAAAAGTAAACTAATTTTACCCATCCATCTTCAACTTAACTCTTCCCACATTCACCATAATGTTCCCAGACACCCAACTGTAACAATAAAAGCTTTTTCTAGGTGCTTCCTTCTTCCTTCTTAAACCTCTCTTGATGGCATTCTCTCTCTTCTCCACCCACCTCGGGCAGGCCTACATCATTCTTGGAGGGATTACTGAAACCATATTCTCAGGATCTTTCTGGTCTCACCAGCCTCCAATTCATCTTCCACTCCGCTGCTAAGGCAACCTCTCTCAAGTCCAAATTAGATTCGGCAGCTTCACTCTGTCTTCCAGATAAAGTCAAGTCTCCTTTTCCTTTTTTTTTTTTTTTTTTTTAACCTCACCCAAAGATATTTTTCCATTGATTTTTAGATAGAGTGGAAGGGAGGCAGGGAGAGAGAAACATTGAAGTGAGAGAGACACATCGACTGACTGCCTCCTGCATGACCCCAACCAGTGCCAGGGTATGTCCCCTTGCCTGGGAATTGAACCCGAGACCCTTCGGTCCATGGGCCAACTCTCTAACCACTAACCACTGAGCCAAAATGGCCATGGCTAACTCAAGTCTTCTTAACAAGGCACACCAAGCCCTTTTGGACGTGTTGGCCCCTGACGTCATCTTCAGCTTATTGCCATGGTTCTGCACTGCTGGCTCCCATCATACTCAAGTATGACTGCCTCAAGTCCCCTAAATGAGGACACTCTGTTTCTTCACCTTTGTACATGTTATTCTCTCCACCCAGAATACTTGCCCTTTAAGTTGATCTAGCAACTAACACGGTATCTCCCAGAGAAGTCTTCCTTGACAATGCTCCCCATCGCCACCACCCCGTTTTGCAGCACAGCAGTCCCAGCTTAGTACTTAACACCCTTTGGGTTTATCGTCTAAAATTACCCCCTGCATCAAACACTAGGATTGGCTAGGGGCTGTGTCTTTCTTTTCTGTATCCCAATAATCATCATCACATATGGCATGCTGTAGGTACCCCATAAATGTTCCCGTTCTACATGCAGGAGATAAGAGTCTGCCCTTCCTCAGAGAGCAAATCCCAACAACATAAGCTGTCAAATGTACCATCCCTTTACATAAAGTCTGACTGAGCCTCAGCGACTAAGTCACTCACTGGAGGTCCCTGCTGGTGAGTGATGGAGCTACAATTTGAAACCAAGTCTAAGCCCAGAACCTTTAAACTGCACGTGAACTCCTTTTTTGTTTAAAATGGAACTATAACGTTCCCCGCAAATATCTGACAGTTGCTACAAAAAACATACTGCTTTTTCACTGTATACGAATAAAATGGGTCTTGTTTATTTAATGTACCAGAAATCACCACATTTGGGCTGCAAGAGACCTCACACATCACCTTGGGGGTCTCAAAAGATGACTGGCCCAAAGTCACATCAGAGGCAGAATCCAGAACCCTCCTGCTCACAGAACTGCTCCCTCAACAAGAGGCCAGGTATCCTTGTGTTGAACTGTTTACCAGCTCTCGCCAGCCACTTCTAAAATGTGGTCCAGTACATTTTAAAGTTCATAAAAACAACAAAATAAAAACATTTTTTATAAATATAAAACAATCAGATGTTTAACTTCAAATAACTAATTACACTAAAATATTAAAGTAACCTGTTCTTTTTACTATGATATCGCAAGGAACATGACTATTCAAATACAAAATACTGAGCTTCAGGAATTTTCTTCCCCCGCAGGCGGGTTTAACCCTTCCTGTGCTGACAGAGGAATTACTGACTAGTACGGTAACACCTGAAAGCAGGTACGCACACCTAGTTCGGCAGCAGTATTGACAATCAGTGGATAACCAATTGCTAACACATCTCTCGGCTTCCTCCACCAGTCCCTGAAGCAGACAAAATTTTTACTTACCAAAAACACAGACCCGTATTCAAAGGTCTCATTCATAATTTCATTTTTTAGCTCTTGTTTTTCCAGAGGTGTCCTGTTTTCTTGTTCACCCCTCTTTTCAGGGCTAATCCTATGGACGTTGGAAACACAGGTCATTTCCAAACATTCCGCGCTGTCCATTTTAGCAGAGAACAGGCCTTTGCACTTCTGAAAAAATGAAGCCACGGAGCCAGGCTCACATGCTGAATTAGAAGAACCTGCTTTGTCAACATCTTCCTGATTCGATTTCAAGGCAGATGTTGTTCTTGAAACCTTGTGGGAAGCATTTTTAGAATGAGTTGCGACATGCTCAGCCTGGCTGGTGATGAGTTTATTCGACTGCTGCTTCTGTGCCTTGTTCATTGGGATTTCTGCTTGTGGGTCTACATTCAGGTCGGATCTTCGTGTTTTGCTCAAAACTGTCACCTGCCTTGAGGAAGATGTTGACGAGGGTGACGAGGCACTGGTCAACTGGGATCTGGGCGTGACCTTTGACAAAGCAGGGTCGTTGGACTGCAATGCTGGTCTAGACATCACTTTTGCTTTCACATTCTTGAAGTTTGGTCTTGGGTAACTTATGATTTTGTTTTTTCTAACTTTGCTGCCTATCGGGGTGTTTGCTTTGGTTGTTGGTTTCCCTAGATTAGGTTTAGCATGCTCTCGATGACTCTTCTCCAGTTTACTGCATTTCTCTGTTGCTTCAACTGGTGAAATAAAGAAGGTTGCATTCATGGGTTTTGGGATTGGCGTAGACATGCAAATTGTGTCATTTGCACTAATGACCATATCGTTGTCATCCCAAGTCAGTTCAAATGATGAAGCCAGCTTTTGTCCTGGTGGGCTACCTGGTACCAGTTCTATGGTGTGATTTTGGATTTCCAAATCCTTTTCCCTGGAGGCACTTGTGTTTTCAGCCTCAGTGACTTTACGTTCTGGGTTCAGCACTGCAGCTGTCCTTTTATCAAACGCTGGCGCCAGGAAAGGGCATTCGTCAGCTATAAGACAATCAGACACTGTTTCTCTTAGATTTTGGCCCATTTCCTTTTGCCCATATGAGCTCTCTGAATGTGTCTCACTATTTGGTTCATCTTTAGACAAACAAAAGAACTCCTCTGTTACAGACCCGTTGGGAACATCCATGCCATCAGAGATCGGTGTAAGAGCGTGTACCTCTTTTTCTCCAACTAGTCTTTGCTGTGACCCATCTGTGTACTCACCGGTGACATTTCCTGAAGAATATGGACACACATTTCCAATATCTGGAACAAAAACATCAGTTTGCATCACCACCTCAGAAAATACTGTGTATGTTGTATCTTGGGCCGCTGGTGTTGTGGCTGAAGGGATTTTGAAGACCTCTCGATCATAACTCATTTCCGTCCCACATACCTGATCGGAACGGGAAGATGTGCGAATGGAACAGGACAGAGATGCATTTCCGCTTCCAGAGGTGTGCAAAGACTGGCCCTTTCCCACGTCGTGGTGTTTTATAAAGGTGCAGTCAGCGTTGCCCACGTTCATGTCAAAGGTCTGGTTGAGTTTCAAGGCAGGCGGGTAGTCAGTACAGTTGAAAACCTCATCATTAGGTTTCCACACAAAAGGCAGAGATGTCTCAACACTCTGGTCCAGAGATGATTCTAGGGAATGACAACTGTTATGCAGGTACCGGGGCTCCTCTGTGGCAACAGCATGTGCAGGAGACTGGCACGTGGAATCTCTATGCATATGTAATACCTCCTTGCCAAGGAAATCACTCGAAGACGTCTGGTGATCAAGTACTTCAACACAGCGAGGGTTTAAGGAAATATTTTCAGCAACGTCCACAGCAGAGTTGGTTTCATAATCAAGCACCATGTCATCTGGGTTGACAGAATTCCAACTGTTGGCTGAACAGTTTTGTGTAGGTGGTGATTTTTGGTGGTATGCATAAGTGTTTCCATTTTTATCACTGATAAATAAGGACTGCAGTTCCTCTTCTGGCTTGTCTTCTGAACTATAATCATTCATTCTGAATATGAACTTGAGACCTCTGCCGTTTTATTTCTTCTTTAAATCCTTTCCAATGAGAGGGAAGGAAAAATTGTCCATCTTCTATGATTTTCAGCACAGTTGAAAGTTTCTTAGTCTAAGATGTTTTGAAGCTGTTCCCTGGAAGAAATAAAACGGTTAACTCAAGGAAATGTTAGAAAAATTTACAAGTCACCTCTTGATTAATTTCAATTACTGTGTTTTTACTTGTCCATCCTGTGACTATAGATATGGGTCATCCCGATGTGATTAGCTGACTCATCACTTTTCGGAGATTCCTATCCATTTGAGGGAATGGGGCAGAGTCTGCCACAACCGCCCTGGGACTGATTCCTGTCTCCGATGCCTCCTTCCTACTCAGTGATTCTCACTTGTCGTGATAAGAAAGATAAACCTGGTAAGAGTGTTTCCTTCCTGTTGATTGAAAGAATGACCACTGGTTCTGATTTGTCTAGGATCGTCTCAATTTATGCCTGTTGAATAATTAATAATAATGCCCTTTGCATTTTTCAGAGGGGCCCACTCTTTCTCCCTGGAGGTGAGGACAGACAGGCCTGGCAGGCGCAGCAGAGGAGCTGAGGATCAGTGAATATCTAGGGCCTTAGCACGTCTCTTTTCCATTTTCATTCTCTACCTCAAGCATACTCCATGTCAAAGTTGGAAAAAAAAAAGTGATTTTTTAACTTTTTCTCTTTATTAATTTTAGAAAGAGAAGAAGGGAGAGGGAGAGAGAGAGAGAAACATCGATGAGAGAGAATACCAATTGGCCGTCTCCTGCATGCCCCCCACTGGGGATTTGGCCCACAACCTGAGCATGTGCCCTGACCGGGAATCGAACCTACAACCTAGGGCACGGGTTGACGCTCAACCACTGAGCCACACCAGCCGGGCAAGTTGTTGATCCTTAATGGTTAAAATGGTACTCTATTCAAAGTTCCTAAAAATGATCTACTGCATGACACACCAACTCTACCCTTACATATCTGAGTCAAGAGAAATAAAAACAAATGTCCACACAAAAACTTCTACAGAAATGTACATGATTCTTAACAGAAGCATTATTCACAATAGCCAAAAAGTAAAAGCAAACCAAACATCCATTCACTAGTAAACAGATAACAGCATGTTATACAACACTCATACAACTGATACATTCCTCAGGAATGGGATACTGACAAATACAGTGTGGACACAGTGTTACAACCTAAAACACTATACTAATGAAAGAAGCCAGTCACCAAAGACATTACGTGACAGTATTTACATGAAATGTCCATAACAGGCAAGTCTATAGAGACAGAAAGTTGATTAGTGGTTCTCTAGGACTGAGGAGGGCAGGAGGGAAGGGCATGGGAGCGACTGCTAATTGGGATGGTGCTTCATTAAAGGGTAATGGAAATAGTCTAAAGATTATGGTGATGGTTGCACAATGGTGTAAATATACTGAAAACTATTGAATTGTAGACTTTTTAAAAATTATTAAAAACAACGCATGAGCCCTGGCCAGCTTGGCTCAACAGTTAGAGCATCAGCCCTTGAAACAAAGAGTCGCGGGTTCAATTCCAGTCAAGGGCACGTACCTTGGTTGCAGCTCATCCCCAGCCCCGGTCGAGTTGTGCGGGAGGCAGCCAGTCGATGTGTCTCTCTCACGTCGATGTTTCTCTTTCTCTCTCTCTCTGCCTTCCCCTCACCCCTCTCTATCTGAAGATATTTGAAAAAGTATCCTCAGGTGAGGATTTTTTAAAAATACAAGAAAGGCCCAAATGTCCAAGCTAGGACTGCAAATAAGTCATATAGAAAAACATTCACTTGAACTGATTTTCTAATCCTGATATTTAATGTCAATGAGATGTCATAGTTCTGTTCTGAAGAAATACAGTATCTGTGAGAAAAGACGACGACATTCTGTAACCTATAAATTTGTGAATTAAGAGTAGACTTCTTGCCCTGGCCAGTTTGTCTCAGGTTAGAGCATTGGCCCACGGACCAGAAAGTCCCAGGTTCGGTTCCCACTAAGGACATGTACCTCGGTTGTGGTTCGTCCCCAGCCTTGGTTGGGGTTGTGCAGATGGCAACCAGTCAATGTGTCTCTCTTACATAGATGTCTCTCTCTCTCTCTTCCTCCTTCTCTCCCTCCCGCTTTATCTAAAAATAAATGCAAAAATGTCCTTGGGTGAGGATAAAAAAAAAAGAGCAGACTTCTTTTCTATGCTGCAATATTTTCTCAGCATTTTTTAAATATTTTGTATTGATTTTAGAGAGAGAGGAAGGGACAGGGAGAGAGAGACAGAAACATCGATAAGAGAGAACATTGACTGGCCGCCTCCTGCATGTCCTCCACTGGGGATTTGGCCCACAACCTGGGCATGTGCCCTGACCGGGAATCGAACCAGTGACCTCTTGGTGCATGAGTCGACGCTCAACCACTGAGCCGCACCGGCTGGGCTTTTCTTGGCATTCCAACTTAAGTGAACTCGATATCCCCAGGAGGATAGAAATGACAGAAGAACTGAGAGGGTCAGCATCTTCACCAACAGTGCTCTGTGTGTTTCTGGCCGTGCATCCCCAACCCTTACTTGGGAGGGGGGTGCTGCAATGTTTCTCTCCATTGCACACATGCATGTATGTACAAGCACATGCATGCGCACACACTCAAAAAGACATCCTGAATCCTAAAATTAGTGCTGCATGATTTATATAGTGATGGAAAACGTAAACTAGACATTTTTGCCCCATCATAGCTCTTTAATCAAGATATCGCTGAAATAATAAGTTTTTGGCTAGCACCTTAATAAAAGCTTTCATGAAACAAATTAATATGTAATTCTTGAGTATGACATATGTTCAAGCTAAATGTTTAAATCGAGAAATACATTTTTCATTTTCTAGACCTGGGGTGGGGGTATATAATTTCAAAAAGCACTAAATATGCTACACCTTCTGCTTCCATGAAAGCCAATGCTCATTTAAGAGATTCTGGTATAAGCAAATACAAACACTGCAAACAGAAACATTTAATAAAAATTACAGTTATTTGTCTGTATAAACAGATTTATTAGTTTCAATTGATAGAGCTACCTGAGTTCCTTCTTCCAAAGTACATGAAAGATGATCACACACACACACACATACCCCTGATAAAAACTGAATAAAGTAAATGGTTCATATGTCAAAGCATTTCAAGTAATTTTTTAAATAGATGCCTAATCGGATAATCTATGCTTAGGTCATTTCTATTTTTCTCCTTTATAAACAACACTACACTAAACACCTGTAATTTTTGACTACCTCTGATTATTTCCTTTGGAAAAACTTCCTGGGAATAAAAGCACTAGTGAGCCAAAGTAGTCAAGAAATAGGATCTTTTAAGGCTCTTGAAATCGTTTGACAAATTGTTAAATGAAACAAAAGGCAGGGTTCTTTATGATATATGTATTAATATATGTATAGAATAGATACATGTCTTGAGTTGTGCTTTTTGTTCAGCATTGCTGTCTTCCAAGCATCGTTCCACGTTATTGTAATCTAAAACATTTATAATGGCTGAGAAATTCCACTAAAACTAAATGTTCTAGATTTATAAATCCGTAGTTTACAAAGAGTAATAGAAAAATAAAAACTTACCAACCGTTCAGCTTCCACATGACTGTTTAGCACAGTTGGGTTTATGCTTTTTTAAATTCACAACACAGATAAATGTTAAAGTTGGTGAGCAAAGCTATCCAAAAAATACCGTAAAAATGTATTCAGAAGAAATATTTAAGACAAGTTTTGATATGAAATAAATTTACTGAGGTCTTTTCTACTTTTGTAGATAAGAGGAAAGAATACCTGCTAGAGAGATTTGGACACCAAATCGATGCTGGGATTAGGCTTATCAGTTCCAGGATGACATTACCCTCCACTAAAGAAAACAACAGTCTCAAGTCGCCACCACTATGAAGATAAAGCCGTGGACAGAAAAGAGTTGACCAGCCTGCCCTCAGAATGTTGTCAGAAAGTTAAAAGTTAGACAGTTGTCTGATGGCCAATTTCACTCTCTCCCACTTTAAGACGAGTGCCTGCGTGAAGCCCTTGAAACGGGGAAAGCTGGAGTGAGGTAGTGGATTTCAAAGGGAAGGTTATGGACATGTCATGAGTGAGTCAGACTTCAACTTATTTAGGAAACAAGTATAAATCACCTTGTGAAAAGAGTGCAGACTGACTCAGTGGGTCTGGGGTGGGTCCTGAGAGTCTCATTTCTGTCCACCTCCCTGGTGATGCTGACATGCTCCTGGACCATGGAGTGGCCAGGATGTAAGAAAGCATGAGACGGACTCATCTCGCCAACCAGATCACAATTAGAGGCCCGCGGAAGCCGGGTTCCTCCACGTCCCACTGGGCAATGTTACTGTAACTAGGGGTTGGCTTTCCTTAACTCTGAACCCTTAACTTACGTCTCTGAATTCCCCTCTCAGATAGCTAGTACTCCCCCTACAGAAAATAATCGGAAATGTTTAGTTAGACGGGATGCTGCTTCTAAATCCCATCTGAGTTCATCCCTTCCAGGTGCGGGAAGTTGTTAGTGGAACATTCTTGCCCTTTCAGTCCTTTTCACTCGAGAGAAACAGTGACTTAAAGGACTCCGTAAATTTAGGAAGAACTAGTTGGGCAAGGACTAGGGTGAGGTGAGGGTGGTTTCTGCCTCAGGCACTATATTGGGGGGGGGGGGACACTCATTTTATTTTTATGTATTATATGTATTTAATTTATTGGGGTAACATTGGTTAATAAAATCATATAGGTTTCAAGTGTACACTTGTATAATAATCATCTGTATATTGTGTGTTCACCACCCAAAGTCAAGCTTCCTCCCATCATCATTTACCCCCCCCCTTACCCTCTTCTACCTCCCCCCACCCCACTTTCCCTCTGGTAATCACCACATTGTTGTCTGTGTCTATGAATTTGTTTGCTTTTTACTTAATCCCTTCACCTTTTTTACCCAGCCCCCACCCCCCTCCCCGGAGAGCAGTCAGTCTGTTTTCTGTATTTATGAGGCTGTTTCTACTTTATTAGTTTACTTTGTTCGTTAGATTCCACATCTCAGTGAAATCATAGGGTCTGTATCTGTCTTAGGC